TGCTCCTCCTAGCTCCCAGAAAAGCCAGGAGACAACTAAAGGAGTAGAGACATTTTAGCCAGCAGCAGAGTGTTTCCTAGGAGGACCAAGCCTCCGTGTCTACTGACACAAATTCCTCTTGTGTACACCACGCCACATTGTTCCACGCCATTTTCTTTTGCTACCAGGATTTTCTGGTAGTAAAATTTGCAGTGCAGGGCACATTTTACCATTCCAGGTGTGTGGTTTAGGGTGCCACAAAGAGTTTTGCAGTGCCACAAACTGCACAAGCCTGCACATCTGGATGTGGCTTAGGAGGTGATCACCCACTTCTAAAGTGTAAATATTTCTTGTGTTACTATAAATGTGAATAATCAACTGCATGATTGAAAGAAAAGATCTGAATATCTAATACTTTGCTAAGTAAAAAGCTGTGGGTACTTCAGAAAGGGAAAGATTAGATAAAGAAAGAAGCATGTACAGAAGCAAAGCAGAAAAATCCTTTTAAGTGACAGCTGAAAGACAGAAGGTTAGGCAGCCTGACACCTCATAGGCTAACTTGGTAATAAGAAAACTAACTTTTCCAAGCAACAGCAAAGAATGAATATGAGGTTTAAGGAAGTTTTATGTCTTATGAGTGAGTGTAAGCAGCCTACAATTTCCCCCTAAATTAAATAAAGTGCACCTAAATCCTAATACTGTCAATTGCTTCTAAGAGTTTAAACATAAACCCTAAGATAGAAGTATATGAATTAAAGGCAATGAAGAAGAAGCACTGGGAAGAAACGAACAGTCAATGTTTTTATCTGCACTTAGGAAGAGGTGGTCTACACAGGCTTTTGAAAAGAGGGCTATGATTAAAGAGCATAACTTGTGGGGAGAAGGATATTGTTTAGGTTGAACTCGCTATTGTTTAGGTTGGTTTGAGGAGCAGCTGATGGCTGTTTCTAATCTGACTATAGTTTTTAAGTTCAGCAAAGACCCTTCAAGACAGTAAAAATGTTTTTCTTCATACATTATATAATCAAAATATAAATGCTGTGTTACAATTGAACCTAGATCTTAAGCTTGGAAGATCCATCAAGTTCTGTATTCTAGAAAATACAATGAAGTAAACCCAGCTGATAAACAAAACAAGGACAAACCAGTGGTTCTAAACTGGAATTTCTAGGCCAGTAATGAAACTTACATTATCAATGGTCGAGATGAACAGTAGCGCTGCTGAGGTTATGTGAAACACAATAATGAAAGCCAGAAGAATCAACATCTTTGTTCCGTGAAGGTTTTAGTCTGAGATGAAGCTGTTTAAAAACAAGACTATACATCATTATTTTGTGCGATGATGAGTTAAGTACTTGACACATTGTAAAATATGGATAGTATCACAACTGCCTCTGTGAGATGAGAAGATTTTCAGTTTAAAATATTTCTAAGTAAGGAAATACTGTGTCTGATGTTTTGTTTTAATTATATATATTTTGAGCTAGACACTCAGGAACTCTTCTAAAAAAGATAGAAGACCTTATTTGTAGCTTTATTTAGTCCTTTTTTTAGAATAGGATATTTCCATTGGCTTTATATATATATCATATATATATATATTATATATTAAAATAAATAGACTGGTTAGTGTGTTCCTCTTGACCACCGCTACTCAATGAATTTCAACTTGAAGTCTTGTATTTTGTAATAAACTAATAAGACATGCATTGTGTCTTGTCTTTGTTGGGCAACAGACTATAGTACAGACTTTCTTAGAGAAGGATAAGTTTATCTCTACTGAGAAAATTAGCTGCATACATCTTGCCTTTTCAAGAAGTTTTTAGTCCCTTCAAATCGGTGTTATAACAACGGAGGGTGAAATCCTGACTCCATGACAAGTCATAGCGGGATTCCCTCTACTTTCAGTAGGGTAAGAATAGTCCAAAGTCTCCAAGAACAAAATCAACATGGACTCACAAGGACAGACTTGCCAATAGAACTGGGATGAGATTAACCAAGATTCATATAGCTGAGAAGTATTTTAAGGATCATGGTATACCCAACGTCTTAAATCTTCTCTGATGAAATAACTACAAGCAGAGGTGCATCGATACATTGGTCCATATCGTATTGGCACTATTGACATTATTGGCAATCAGCTTTTTTTGGCTGATGTGGCTGATAATGTTGCTGATAAATGCCACATGCATGCACACAGCTGCAGCATACATGCAGCCAAGAGTGCAGCCTGGCAGCATGGAGAGCAGGATCCAGCCTGTAAGTCTGTGGGGGAGAAGGGGCGTGGGAGAGGAAAGGGATAGGAGGGGCAGATCAAGGCCCCAATGGTGAGGGAGGGAGTGGGCTTGGGGCTGGGGCAGGGGCAGGGGCAGGGAAGGGTGCAGGATGAAGCTGTGGGCAGCTTATCCAGGAGGCATGGGGCGGGATAGATCCCACCACTGTGTGCACCCTGGGGGAGGCATGGAGGGCACGGGGCGAGGGCAGACTGTCCACTTTGGACTTGGGTCCAGGAGTGGTGCTAGGCTCTTCTAGGCAGGGGTCTGAGTCTGGGCTGCGCTCAGGGTGGGCAGGGGCAGGCCAAATTTTTGCTGATTTTGGATTTAAACTTCATTTCTGAACAACAAGAAAGATTTCTACACCTCCCTGCCTGTCTGCCATCTGGGAAGGAATCCTGCCTTATCTGCATGTCAAAGAGCAACTCACAAAGACACTCTCATGGACCCAGAGGAACAGACTTCCACCTTCAGCTTCCTCTGTGCAAAAATGAAGTTTATTTTCTACCTCTGGGGACTTTTTACCATCTTTAACTTTCCCTGAGCCTGAGAAAGGGCACGTGTGCCTGAAAGCTTGCAGAAAAAGATTTTTTTTTTTTGCACTTTCTTCGTTGGTCTAATAAAAGGTATCAACTCTAAACCAAGAGTTCTAGAGTTTTGCATTTCTTTTTGTCTCAGACCAACACAGTTACCAAATACATCCCTGAAACATAAAGCTATGCATGCACTGTTATATTACATTTAAACTGTTACATTAATTTACATTTCTTTATTTCCTTTACTTTGTTAGATTTTTTAAAGTAGGAATGACCAAATTCATATAAAAAAGACTAATGCTCTTTCTGTTACAAGTCCTTTTTTCAAATAGCCATATAGCTGTTATCTCAAATCTTTTCAACTCTGTCAGTACTGTTGGACTCCTGAACTACATGCACACTAAGCAATGTGGGCAGTTTAACCAAATAAAAGGACTACATTGACAGCAATTTTAAAGACAGCAGGATCTACTGGTATTCCCTCCAGTCCAAAACGCAACTACTCTGCAAAAGTTTAACAAAAGCTAGCAGACAGTATATAAACATACTGAATAGAAACTAGAAGTTCCAGACTAATCGCTTGTCTACTCCGAAGTATAACATTTCAGTGCAACAGAGCAGCCTAACAAGAATAATGTAACATTAAAGCATTTTTTGGAAAAGGATGACTAATCATTCTTTTCCATAGCCAGTTGGAATGAGCCTACTAGAATACTGCAAAGTAAACTCTGAGTCCTGAATTAAAAGAAACTATTCTACTATTTATACCTACCTAATTACTCACTGCTAAACTTTGTCTTCTTGGCCACATCTAGTCATGGTAATTGGGCCCCCTACAAATCTATATTGCTATATGACTCAAGACTCTCAGAAGTCAACAATCACATTTTATTCCTGTAAATGTTATCCAATGATGTGTGAGGATTTTTCCTTGAATGAATGAAAAGAAAAAAATATTGTGGTTTATATAATGATAGACTGAGGCTACCCATGCCACTTAAAGAATTTTCACTGTAAATATACCACTTTTCACACAGCATGAGGATACTCTCCTACCTCGCTTTTTTCTATGGTTTTAATTTGTGGAACAAAATGCAACCAATTAAGCAACTTCAGGTACCCTGTTGCATAAGGACAGAAACAAATTGCATTGCAGGGAACTATTTTTAAGGATAATGGCACATCTTTGTCTTCTACTACATGAAGATCCACAAACTAACAAGTTTTAATCTAATTAAAACCAAACTTGTGAAATTGAGATTTACCAGCCCCCAAAAACCTGTTCATCCTTTAACCAAGTTAATATTTTGGATTTACAACTTTTTGCCCCAAATTCAAGCAATTCAAAAATGGAAAACATCCTGCTTGTTTGCTGAATGGGCAATGAGTAAGATGTTGCAACTTCCAGGTACTGCTTTACTGTTGCTAAAGGTTTGCCAGTGAATAGAAACCAGATGGTCATTATTCACTCTCAGCTGACTGGTCAGTATAACTGAGAGAGGAGATACAGGCCAGAGTACACAAATCAAACGGTCTCTTGAAAACACGTATCTTTATATATTGTTCTTGGAACTCCAATCACATGCTAACATATGGATACGCACAGCTAGATATTACTTCCTTTCTTTTTCATATAAGTGCATTACCATTCCAAATGATTTTTCCACATTTTTTTTTACTTCCTTGTCATTTTCCAAGTCACTCAAACTACACCTTGATTGAAGATGTACTGGTTAGAGGGTATTTACAGTTAGTTCTTAACCACTTAAGGCTGACACTGTTCCCTGTCCTCCCAGGAAGTTCACCACATCCTTATTACATTCAAGGATGCATCTAGTCATCAAACAATACTCAGTTTGGGGGCTTTCCTATCATCCTAAAACAGCCTTTTTTTTGGTGGGGGGATTTAATATAGGATGCTTGATAACTTTAATACAGCTAATTTTCTGTAGCCTGGACTTCCCAATTCTTCATTTCTACTGTAAGAAGTTTAGGAGGTATTGGTGACAGCAATCTATATACAGTAATATGGGGATTAAACTTCCTTCAAAATGTACAAGACTTGAGGCAAGAGGTTTTCAACAAGAAAGAAGAAAACATCCCTCAACTTCCCCTCCTGACATGAAGACAACAGCCGTGACTACACTTGCATTATTGAGAAGCAAGGATATAACTGATGCTCAGGAGCAAGCACCAGAAGGGAGTGCATGCGAGAAACATTGTCAGGCTCTGAGAAATTGTCATGGCAGAAAGAATAAACCTGCTACCCCATTACACCTAAACAGGGCAAGCATGGGGTCCAGGAAGAGCATAAAGAGGCCTCTATAGCTCAAACATTATTGTTAATTCTGCTTCCCAAGAAGGGTAGCAGCCCCCTTGACTCTCCTCAAAGCAACAGGAATGGTCAGGAAGAATGCTGCAATTAAACAGCATACAACCCAGGTGCCAGAAGACGGGTAACTACCTTCTCCTATGCCAGTCAGCAAAGGCAGCATAGAATCTCCTGGAGTAGGAGGTAGCTGCTTCTTCCCTCCATTCACGAAGCTGAAAAGAGCCCCAGCTCCCTCCCCTCCCAGTCTGGTAGGCCTAGTTTAACCTAGACAATGCACCATTTTAAACACTCGCTCATTCTAGGGATGTGGAGTCCTGTGACCATTAATAGCAGGAAGAAGCCTCTTAAAATGAAATATTCTCCCTTTCAAGCTCCTAGGCTGGATCCTGGCTACCTCTTGTAGCAGCAGGCAGCTCCAGTTCCTCTCTGAGCTGAGGAAAATAAAAGAATGAAAACTTCACAGAGAACAGTTCTGGGGCAATGAAGAACAAAGAGAACAGTGATGGTCAGGAAGGGCTACTTGTCACTGAAGAAAGCAGCCTTTAACAGGATTTCAAGATTAGACTTAGGGACACATGTTTTCAGAGTTTGTGCATTTTAAGTTAACTTTCCCTGCACTACACTCAGTCCCTACTCCAGATTCACAGTAAAGTCCAACTTGACTCTTATATAAACCTAATGATCTTCTTACCTGAATGATGTTTTCTGGCCAATTTTGTACAGATTAGTCTACCCAATGGTTTTTACACATCGTGGTAGCTGATGTTGCCTCTCTTCTTGCTCTCTCAAAATAAACAAGAGCAAGAACAGACAGCTAAACACACGGAGTAGGTTCTATTTTCTAGAACCACCAAAACTAAGATTAGATTAAAAACTTTGCTCTCCTGTTTAATTTGTATTTGTGAAAGAGAAGAAACAGTTGTTGATTTAAAAAATGTAGTGGCTATTAATAGTTGATTTTAATAAATCCCAGAATTTTTCCAGTGCAATATGTACATTAATGTGCACACACACAGATATGAATCAATAAATGTCCAGAAATGTTCAAACTTTTCAAACTAAAATGTCAGTATGAGTGCTGCACTGTGATATCTACTCTCTCTGTCAGCATTCATTCCCGATGATATCAAAAGATTAGTAAGATCTGTGACTCCTGAATG